GCCGTCAGCGGCTGTCGGAGTGCTCCCACTCCCAGCTCAATCTCGGCATCGACTGGTGGACCACAAGTGGCTCCTTCGGCTGTTTTATACCTGCAGAAGACTCCTTAGTCAAAACATGCTTCTTTTCTTTCTCCTTTTGGCACGGAATAAACCTTGTTCATTGGCTCTGTACATGGTGTGTTTTGGGAGTATTTTTTGGTATCTTTTCTTATGATCCGCTATCTGTCTTCTCTTTTTGCCAGTCTGAAAACGGCACTGTTTCTGAATGTCATTTGGGTAACCAATGAGAGAAGATGGACAGACAACTTGGGGGAAAAAAAGCAACTACCCCATTACAAAAAAATTACAGGAAGTCAATATACCATTTCGACGCAGCTTTTTAAATTGGGACACTCACGAAACACCACACCACACAAAAGACAGCATCACCGATACAAGAGTAACAGTAGAATCTCCCAGCAGCTATGCAACAGTGACGAACCGTATAGGTTTTCGTTTTAAAGAGCGGACTTTTACAGCAACAGGCTACCCGATCCTGGGCTCCATAGTAACACTGCCACTCTGCCCCAGCTCGTTTACTACAGGTACTGAAAGCCTTCATTAACCTGAGTGACAAGCCTGCCAAGTACATGTGGTCAGAAGCTCACACAAGATCTGGAACTGGACAGCGGGGAAGCGCATTACAGGTGTGCCTCACCTGTCTGCACAGGTACTCGAAATTCACATTGAACCACGGGCTACTCCTAAAGCAGCCTCTTTCACAAGGCAGCTTTGACAGCGGTGTCTCGGTTTTTAGCCGGTCTCTGCAGAAACAGCAGGTCCTGTAATCTCACCAACGTCATCCCTCGTCTCCTGTGTAGATCATCTAACAACACCGGCAATAAAATGTGATCTTTCCCAGATGTCAGTCTCCCCAAAGGGCTAACAGGGGAGTGCTGCTCACACAATCAGAAACTGATGAAGTCCCGATTGTGCCATTGGTTTTTTAAACACGCATTCCATGGAATTTAATGGAGTTTCTTGCTGGACTGATCCCAGCAAACATTCGTATACCTGATAGCAAACCACCATTTATGCTCAGATTATTTTTAAACAGCATTAAAGATGTTATTTCTCCTTCTTTCTTGCCACCACTGCCCATGAGCTGTGGCAAACTTGCTTTCTAATGTATAATATCGTGTGAGCAACATTTCGTGCTGCTTTTACGGTGCATACACATTGCACTAGCTGTTGCTTGCTGCCCCAGCCTCTCCTGCGAGAACCCTGCGCCGCCTCAATTAGTTGGAGGCTGACATTTGGTGTGGTGTCAGTGACAGAGCCCACCGGTAACCGAGAGTTAACTTCTGCTTGCTGTGTCGGGTTTCACTGTAAATGCTATCACCAGGGCTGGCGGAGCCAGCTACCCAGAGCACAAACAAGGAACAGGAAATGTGATCTTCACAGTGCTTAAAAAAAAAAAAACAATCTCCCCATTGTTGTGCTTTTTGTTCTCATCTTTACTTTTCCCGGTACGTTTTGGGGGATTTTTTTCTCTTCTCCATGTTCCGGGAACATGAGTTGGGCAGAGAAAGGAGAGAGGAGGGCGCAGGCGGACAGCCCTGGTGGGAGAAACCTGCAAACAGGCCCTTGAAGCCAACAAGTTCATCCTTCTTTTTTCCGTGGAGAAAGACACGAGGCTGCGGGATTTCGACACGCACGGAGACGAGGACCCGCATAACTAAACCTGCAAAACCAAACGGCGGAGCCTGGAGCCTGAGCAAATCAAATCCTTTGCTGACAATCAGGCCCAATCCGACACAGGACCCAGGAGGAGACCCGCTCCAATAGGAAGTGCTTTCTTTTTTCCCCATCAGGGCGGAACGTACCGTGGTCATTTCTTTTCCAAAAATAACACACAAAAAAACACATCCTCTGCTCTTGGCTTCTAACCAGGTCCGTTGGCAGAATCTGATTTTCCAAGTGTTGAACGGTCAAATCTGTTCACCTGGACACGTGGTCTTCAACCGGTTTTTCAAGACGGCGAGGGTCTCAAATCGCTAATGGGTGTAATTAAGTTCCCAAGAGCTGAAGCAAATCTCAGAAGACGCTACAGCTCTCCAGGAGTTCGAAGGGTCCCCGGTTGTACTGTAAGGCACCAGCTCTGTGAGTGGCTTATGCGAGGACAACAAGAAACACCTGTAATTCAGGCCTTGCGAAACAGAGGACTCCCTTTCCTATTCCATGTTCAAGAGCAGGAATTGGCAGAGACGCTGGCAGTCACCCAACCAGCTCCGTGCACCGCGACAGACCCAGACAGGTCACAGTGATGACCAACAGGAGCCCAGGCGGCCAGAGGCAGAGGCCTAGTTCAAGCCCGCACCAGCAAGGAGAGCCAGCAGCCTCAGCTCCGTCTGGCCCTCGGCGAGCTCGGATTCACCCGGGCGCTGAAGGCCAGCTCATCGGCGTTCACAAAGGCCGCTCCGGATTGGAGCACATTTCTGTCCGGAGCCTGCCAAAGCCTTTCAGACATAGAGGAATCCGTTTACAAGGTGTGTGGGAAATTACCAGGGCTGCAGAAAGGGCGACATTGGAGCCGCGCTGGGAGGTGAATGGAGACGCGGCTCTCCAGGGATACTGGATCCCTGCGGAGACATCCGAGCCCTGGCTATCCGATGTCCTGCCATTCCCCAGAAACGGCCGCCCCACACATCAGAAAACCCGGCGCTCCTCAAAACAAATTACCCATTTAACTGCAGAATTTTTGAACAGTGAGGATTTTGTCTCTGCCTGTGGAGAAGGGTGAACACGACAGCGGAGCTCAAACTGAGAGGCAACGAGGATGGGCGCCTTTTCGCCTTGTTAAAAGAGAAATTCTGCTTCATTTAACAAGTGGTCCCCTGTATGAAGGGATCCATTTCCCTTGTTAAAAGAACTTAGAAGACATCAGGCCCCTTTAAAAAAAACAAATTCTCCACCTCAGACCCCCTGCTACAGTATGTCACAGGGGGACCCTGCTCATTACTTTTTACAACTCAGATAATGTTGCTCAGTTAGTTTCCGCAAATGCACCACATTCTTACCCAAACCGCCCTCTCGAGAATGATTAGAACCCCCCGAAAATAGAAGCAAACTTGTATATAAATCTAGGGAGCTCCAACAGCTAATCTGAGCAGCGGTTTGAGTTAGACTGTGAAAAAACTAGCTCTGTGCATGGAGGCTTTAAAGCGGAGTATCCCTCAGAAATTACAGTGGTGTAGCCTGCGATACGATGCATGCAAATTCTGAGAAACTACTCTGGCAGTGTCTGAATTATCTCATACAGTGCATTGCTCCAACGACACACTTACGCATGAAGCAAGGGAGGTTAAATGGAAAAGCTCCACGATTCACGATGACTCCTTCTTGGTAATTAAATTAGCAAAAAAAACAATCAGGTCATTGAGCAATTCCCCACACCTGGTGCAGACTGCGGCTGTTTAAGCAGTGAGCTCAGATTGTAAAGAGGCCTGTGGTCTGGACTGCAAAAACCAAAAGGTAACGGACGATCTTCACTCCGTATGGAAACGGGTCAAGAGAATGAGATGCCAGGGATGGCAAAAAGAATTTCAAATCTCCGTTGCAAGGCCGGGCTCCTTCCCAGCACAGGTGACTGCAGAGACTGCAGAAACTGCTGCAATGATGCTCAAAGTGTATTTCCCTGAAGGCCTGCTGTACTTCCTCACGCGTTTAAACTGAGGTGATCATTGACAATATCACTTCAACTCACCGCAAAAGGGGAAATTTTAAACCCTGAACTGAACGGCCATTGTTCTGAGGTTTTCCTAAGGTAACAACAGACTGATATTACCATTGTATAAACTAATAATACCCACTCCGAAAGCCCCTGTCTTGCTGAAATCTAACCACAGCTGAAGCAGGACCTACAGATTCATCCACCGTCTAACCACTTCTTCCAATCTGGGATCACAGCGCAGCCAGAGCCTATTCCTGCCAGCAACGGGCACAAGGCAGGATACACTCTGGTCAGGACGCCCACCGGCCATCGCAGGGCACACACACTCGCTCCAATGAAGCCCATTGACGTGCCGGCACGCCTACGGCCTGCAGGGGGACAAATGGAGCACCTGGAGGAAACCCCAGGAGATGAACGCAGGAACCCAGCAGTACTGAACACTGCGCCACTGTGCTACAAAATCACTTAAATGAAACTGCCGTCTTTGTCACGGTGAAGTTCCAAAAATATCAGCTTTTGTTCCTCCCGGGCTGTGGCTGTGTCACTGAAAGGGCACAAGATAAGGGATGGATCTATTATTAATTGTTCGTATTTCTTAGCACAGCAAAAGCTCTTATACCCAGGGTGACCTATAGAAACAAATGTGTAAAATGACTGCATTAGGGATACAAAGACTTGGCTAAAGTCTGGTCTCTCTGCCACATGAGAACAAAAGGGATATTCGATTGTTTTTGTTCCTAACTGGGAGATACAGCACTTTTATGCATAATCTTTCCTGAGGAATAACTCGACCTTTTATCCATATGCCTTCTAACACAAGGGTACACGGATACATTCACAGATTTTTTTTTTAAAAAGTTTTCTGCAGTGGTTTCAACCCACGGCTGTGGAGTGAACATAGCAGCAAAAAGGACTCGTGAACAGCTCTAGCTGTTATCACTTTTGCCAAACAAAACATAAAACAGACACGTGTTGGGATGTTTCAGTCGGTCTCTCCTGGACACATGCTTTCGCTCTGCTTCACCAAATAAACGGAAGCACCGATCAAAAAAAGCGACTGACATCAATCACCACAAGGTGTTCATCTTTGAGGAGAACCGCAGTAGTAGATGCGGACTACGGATTGGACTTGTAGGAATGAATGCGCGCTTGAGAGGGGAAATCGCGTTGCTTGCGCTGATTTAGGGTCCCTCTGTGCCTCACTGACACATCTCTGGGGGGACGGACGATGAAGAGGAGGATGGAGTTTGGTGACGGGGTGAGGCGAATTGAAAGAAAGGTGCCCTACCCGTAGCTCCTAGCGAATCGCTCTCCTGCTGGTCTGGTCTTAGAGTCTGCCCCTGTGCTGTAATTCCATCTGCGGAGAAAACAGGATGCGATTCGTAAATGGTGTTCAGCATCTGGAGTAGTCCCGGCATGGGGTGCGCGCCCCTGGGGTCACCAGGTGTGGCGGGGCTGGGTGTGCTTTCCCTGTCGGGCGGGTGGTGTTCCGCGTTTAATAAAGAGGAGGGTTTTGCACAACACTGCAGCGATGAGCCGTATTTCCTAAAGAAGCGTCTCTCTCGATCTCGGGGGCGATCACAACAGCCCGGGAGCGCGTCGTGACAGCTGTGAGTGGAGGTCGAGTTTATCTGAACTGCAAGAGCGCAGCAGGAGGGGGCGGGGGAGAAATGTAAGGCGTCAAGAAACTTTCAAGCCACGAAGAATACGACTGAACAAGGATAAACGAAGCACAAGTCGGCAACAACCCCCAAAACTTTAGGGAAAAAAAACCCCAACAACAAACCTGTTTTTATTCCAAACAGCGGCATATGTAAACGCACAGAGCTCCGGACGTCTTTACTCTCGCATCACAAGGGCAGCTCCGCTCATTTTTAAGAAACTGTGGTCGTCCAACATCCGCCTTCAAGACATTCAAGAGAACTTGTGGCGTGACAAGACGGCCACGGCGCAGCTAACAGCTCCCTCGCCTCCCCGAGTGTAGACGCGCGGGGTGCGCTACTCAACAACGGCTCATTCTCCGAGCCGCGTTTCCTCTCTTCGCGAGCCGGGGCTCGGCGATCATTGGGAGGCACGGGGCTCAGAGCGCGAGCTGCTCGAGCCTCCGCACAGGAAAGCGTGCGCGCGGGCACGAGCGTCTCTGAAAGTCCCAGTCCGGACAAAACTCTTCGGAATGCGCTTCTGCTAGTGCAGGAAACTGGGGAGGAAAGCCGCAACAAACTCCTCTTTAGTACCCAAATAAATCAGCTCTCGCTTTTGTTGTGCCGAATATCTTCTATGAATGAGTTATCACACAAACAAAAGGTGCAACAGGTTGTTTTAGTTTCCTACTGGCACCGTCTTGCGTGCTCGGAATTCACCTGCGCTTGCTCCCCATCCCCCCAAGAAACCAGAGAGAGCGCTTCTCATTGCATCCAAACTAATCCTCTCTGCAAACGTCCAGGCAACAATACCAAGAACTGACAAACGAGAATCGCTAATAACGCTAGAGAGAGAGAGAGGTATCGCGGCTTAGAGCTAGACCAGCCCCGGAGAGAGACAGAAATAGAAAACAAGGCGGATACCACCAAAAATAGCCGTGACATCACACGACTTCTTTCAAACAGAAAACCTGCATTGTTTCCGCAGCGGTGAAGACCATTGGCGAAGCACGCAGCCAATCAGACATCGCAAACTTTTTTTCGAGTTACTCTCGTTTCTTTTTTTTTGAAGTGTGAATTTGGCCTCGTGGCTCCACCTGCTGAAATAAAAGGATAAAAGCTGCGCTCGCAGTGAGCGATGGGGCGAGCACAGGCGATGGGCTCGTTCTTTTCACCGAATAAGCTCTGAGCGGCAGCGAAGCAATTAAATAAAAATAACCATCTGAGCAACCTCTTCTACCAGGGCTGCCAAAAAGTAGCCCCGCCCCGCCTTTTCCTTTTCGTTCAGCTGAGCAGAGCCAGGTTCCTGTGTCTCCCAGTCTGATGGGCTTCAAAACCATCCCCGCAGGAAAGGCAGGTCTGAGGATTACTGACGCTCTTGTCCCTGAGAGAACAGTCCCTTCAGGGCCTGAGTACTGCGCCCCTCATAAAACCCTCTCCCCCATGCCAGGGTTACTACATTGTGAAGGGGAAAAAGTCAAACAAAATTCCAAGTGGGAAGAAATCCCTCCATACACCCCTTTCTCACCACTTCATCCAGTACAGAGTTGCAGGGGAGCCGGAGCCCAGCCCACTTCAGGGGTCATTTTTCCAGTATGTAACCTAATGTACCAGTATGTCTTTGGACTCTGGGAGGAAACCGGAGCACCAGGAGGAATCCCATGCAAACATGGTGGAGAACATGCAAACTCCACACAGACAGCACCCCAGGAATTGAACCCAGGGCCCCACTGCTGCAAGACTGAAACTCTGTGCCTCTGTGCCGCCCCTAGTCTGAAGGAACGCCAAGGGAACTGTGCTCAGAGGGATTGTTAAATTCACAACTTCGCATTGCAGAACTTTGTAACAGGTAGAAAATGAGATGAAGCATTAGACGCAGAAAGTCAAGGAAAATGCATGCTGTTTCTTTGCTGTGGTGTCTAGAATACTGTATATGATAAAAGTAGCAACAATTAAAAAACAGGCACACACACATATGGTCAGGGTAGCTGAAGAAGCTCATTGACTACAACATAGTGTAAATCATTGTACACCTTCGGGTTCATGGAAGACAAGAGCCCTCAATTCATGAGGGACAGCAAAGGAACGGATGAGCTATATTGATGGATCATGTGTTCAGTGAAGCACGTAAAAAGGTAAAAGAAGTAGCACAGCTCTAATTAAACAGAAATATTAAAGTTGTAAAGCTAGAGGCAACCAAAAAGCAGGACCACAGAAAAAGGGACAATACAGTATAGCCAGTAAGCAAAAACAGTCTCTGGGAATTGGGAGGAGACCACTTTATCCTGAACAAATCCATACAAACATGCAACCGTGTAGAACATGCAAACTTCACACAGACAAGACACCTGAGGCCAGAACTAAAATGCTAACTGCCAGGTCCCATTGTAAGACAGCACCTTCGACCATGTAAGAATAATTCCAAAATGCTTTAGATTTGATCTACATTTTATACAGCGCTCAAAATGATTACGATTTCCTTCCTGAGATACAGTGAATTAAAAAAAGTCCTGTCCAGCTGCCCGATGTCAGCAGTGCAGTGGCTGTAAAGGTTGTGGCTCAAAGAACCCATCGCACAACTGTCTAAAATCAAGAACCACACTGCCTGTCCTTCTGGGAAACACCAGCACACACTGAGCGCTGATCTCGGTCACTTTCCTAACACAGTGACATCACATGCAAATCACCTCTCGGTTTATTTTCCATTCCAAGGCCCTGTGCAGCCTGTGAGCTGGGAATTCCTGTTACTCTGACTTGTCTGTGGAACGGCTTGTCTAGGTTTCACCTCGAACAGGAAGCAGAATAGCTGACAGTGACAACACAACCGAATCTCATCTGGCTGAACCAGAGTGAAAAGGGGCAGACGAGCGAAGGTCCAACAGCAGGGCGGTCCTGCGTGAGTGGATTTTTAAAGACCTTCAGATCCAGAATACAACAGCTTGCCTTTCAGTTACTGTATCTAGACACAACTATGCGTTTTTCCATTCTGCGAAAAATGTCCCCATTACAGACCCACATACTTGAGGAGGACAAATATCGAAACCTGTAGAGACTGTGGTGTTTCTTTCAAGGTTTCGGTGTGTGACAGGAGAGCCGGTGCTCTCAGAGCGAGCTCTGTGGTTACTCTGCTGATTACACAATCCCCGAGTCTGAATCACATCCGGAGCAAGCTGAAAATAGCAAGACCACACCGAGAGAAGGAGCAGAGAAAACTGGGGGCACAAGAAACACAAAGGCAGCGTGAATCATATGAGAGAAAATGCAAAAGGAGCAGTAGGGCTCCGGGCCCACCAGTGGCTCCCTGCTCTCTTCAGACAGAGCTCGGTCCGCTGGCCCGGAACAGCGAGAGGAACACGAGGCTCCCAGGCTTGCAAAAACGCACCAGGAGCAGAGGAAACAGCAAAAGCCTGACTTCAAAAAAACAACAACACAAGCAGAAACAACTGCATGTTAGTTTTTCCATATTACTGTAAGCAAAACGTGCGAACGGGACTTTCATGCAAATACCTTCACCGGCTAGCCCCTGTGGGGCTCAGCAATTTAAACGCACGCCCCTTCCAAGCAACGCAAAACAGATCCCGTGTGGTCCTTGACAACTGCCATTAGCACCTATGCCCCTGCCTGAACACTCGAGTGATCAAGGGGTTCTGCGTCTGAGTGATGAAACCCAGAATGACGGCTCAGGAGGTCAAAAGCCGATCAAGCGTCAAGCGAAGATCTGCCCAGTCCCGAGCCCCGGAGAAAGAGCACACACATCGACAGAAGCCCAGGCCAATGAGCTATACCTGCTGGATTTCAGATTTATTCTTTTTTTTTATTCGGTTGCCCTGGGGGACTGCTGGTCCTGTTCATTTTGTAATGATCAGTGTTGTGAGGGGGATGCAGTTCGGAAGCGAGTTATCAGTTGAAGACGCAAGTGTCTCCCCTCCACCTCTTTCACTTGAATCGGATTTTCTGCACGCAAGGCTTGAAGTAACCAGTAGAATTAATTTTCTGTGTCGGAGGCAGAGCCCTCTGCTGACTTATTGGTCTACCAGTCCATTGCGCAGCCAGTACAAGCCCATTCATAACATGACAGACTGGGCCACATGTGACAGCTGGTATTACAACTACCAGCAATACTACAAATGACTACTACAAATATTAATACTGAGAACGAAATAGGGGGTAATAATGCGTGAGGGTTATCTAATATTTGGATTTTTAGCTACCAAGCAGGAACATTTAACTGTCCAAGGTAACCCACTTTCAATGCATTCAGGTAGCCAGCCCAAATCGTAAAGGAACTGGAACAACCTGACTCCGGGTCTGGCACATAGAGAGAGCCCTGCAGCTTCATTCGGTACAAAAATGTCCATGTGAGAGAAGGTTCACTGTCCACCCTTAAATAGCACGTTTACAGCGGCATGGGGGACAGGGAGAGCTGATGTGAAAATATGAAGATTCAGATTCCCGTTAATTAATGAAACGGCGCTCAGCGCAGGATGCGGTCAGCCGTTTCAGCAAAGCCTCCCACGCAGGTGTATGCTGGCCCTCGTCTCTCAGAGAGAGGAGGTAGACCTGAAGTCCACGTCAGTCCGCTGCACTGCCTTGGCGTCTGCTTCACGTGTTTTCAACCACGGGAGGGAAACAAAGCTTATGGGAAAGGAAATTCAGACCCGTCTGAAGTGCCGTTTACAGAAAAGCCCGGTAGAAATGCATATTGTATAGTAGGTCATGCTGTGCTACCCACAGGCAGGAAGTAACACTTTTATAATGACTTCTGACATTTGTATTTTATGTTTCTAACTTCAGCAAGTTTATTTGTCATTTATAATAAGACACAAAAATGACCCAGAGGACCTACAGTGAGTGTTTCTGTTCACTGCTTTTCTGATTATGGGTCTGTAAATATCTTGTTTCTCGGGCAGTGTGAGACTTTCTGTTTCCCTTGTGCCACCTGTCTGAAGCGAAGCGAGAACTTTCTCTGGACAGAAGTTTGCCCCATTGCAGAGATGGGGTGCAGAAAGGGCCCAGAAACTAAATGGAGAGGGAATGGAAAAGTAGCACTTCAGCACTAATCAGCCTCCAGCAGATTTTAGTCATGAAACACTGCAAAACACCTAATTTTTTAATCTCACTTTGTCTTTTGCCGTTTTCTTTTTCAACTCGGCCAATTAGGAATTGCCAGTTGCTGAAGCGGTAAGGACTGAGCAGCCCTGACACGTGGATGTTGGGGTCACTAACGTACAGTATAGCCTAGTCAGTTCATGGGGAGTTCCATACACCCACAACTCTCTGTGTAAAGACGTGTCTCCTCCTCTGCATCCTTAATTAATTTCCTTATACAGTAGATTCCAACTCTGACCCACATTTCGCTATTAAGATAGACATACAGTAGGCTGCTCAGCCTACCTTGACGATATTGATTAGTATTTGTCATAGACACTTGTTTTTTAAGTCCTACAATGTCCCCCTAGGGTCCTATTATGGACATGACTGACCAAAAGAAACAGCACAATGACATCGATATGAAAAAGGGGAAAAACACAGGATCTCCTCTACACACAGTGACAGACATTCGCCCAGAGCCCTGGGGGAAAACAGAGGGGTTTTAGCGAGGGAAAGCAGATGAAGGCACACATTGTTTCACTCAGCCCTTCTCTCGGCTGGGTTTGTAGGGATGGAGCCAGTGAAGTGTACATGTGACTCTCCGGGGCTAAAATACGCGCCTCTTTGCCATCTCCACGTGCTAGCCTGATTGGACGAGCCTGTATCAATGTTCGGCAGCAGAATGCTGCCCCCCCAGGGGAAGGTACAGGAGGACGTGAGATTAAAAAAAGGATTGAGGCTTTGCCGTTTTGATAATGTGCCTTTTTTAAGCCCGTTAGCTGTCCCTACAGGGACATTGCACTAGCGTTGACCATTCAAACCACAGTGAAATCATGGCATGAAATAATGAAGTAAGAGTTATTGCAATAATGAAATAATTGCAATAACTCTTACCTTCCCTGCCCTTAGGAAGTGGGGCAGAGCTGGAGGTCCTTGCAAACATACAGACTCCACACAAACAGGCACTCCAGCCTGGAATCGAACCCAGGACCCTGGAACTGTGAGGAAGCAAAGCTTTCCACTTTTGCCACTCCAACTTTGCACAAGTGAAGGAACATTGTGCTTTCTGGTAGTCACAAAAAATATCAACTCCAAAATGAGGATTTTCATTCTCACTGTCCCATGAACTGAATAATTTGCCATAAAAGACCCAGGTCCTGTCTGGCCAGCGTGCCTGGCCCTATCCTTTGAGCAGGCAGCATTATCTTGGAAAGCTGAATACACACAATACTATTATTTGGCCTGCATGCAGATAAAAACGAGTTTATGCAGCTGTACTATTCTTGTGCTGCTCAAATTACAAAGTGCACTTGTTAACGGACAAGACTGCATGGGAATGGACGACAACTGCACAGGAAACAAGGCCAAAGAAGTTGGCGTCTCCCAGCATCGCTGCAGCTAAGCAGCACAGCCACATGCAGGAACAGCCCGCTGGTAAATCACTGCCCTCTGCTTCCTTCCCTGGCACACGGGCGCAGAGGGAGCCTGCGACGCCAACACTGGCCAAACCGCCAGGCACACAGCCCAGGGCCGCAACGAGCCAACCGTCAATTTCACCCGGCGTAAGAATACACCGGTTGGAGGCTGCAGCTCGCCCGAGATACACCACCGCGTTTGAAAAACCTGCTGCCCTGAGTCGCAAGATAGTGCGGAAGATAAGAGAATTCAGGAAAAACAACAAACAATGCTTACATGTTGTCTGAGGCCAGCACAGTCTGTGCCGAGGGAAGGAAAGCATAACATTCGCTTCTTTGGGTACGTGCTAACTATTTTTGCTCAGGTTCCGGTACCTTGAAACTTCCTATTCACTTCTGCGGCTTCCTCTGTGCGTTATTTAGAGCTGAGCGGCGTGTGTGTGACACACAGAGAGCAGGCTCGCGCACCTTCTCCTTGTTGGCCCTGGGCCGGCTGAGCAACTGCCACACGGCACAGCTGTACACATCTGTCTGTCGCCGTGGGCGTGCTGGGCCGGGGGCGGGGGGGGGCGATCAAGTCTGCTCACACAAACACTGAGGAGGGCAGGAAAAGGGGAAAGGATACGCACTCCACTGGTCAGTCTTCAATCACAAACAGCCAGCGAGCCAGGTGGAAGGTGACTCAACTCAACTGTTGCTTTGTCATTTGCAAACAGTCACAGCAAAAATGAAGAAGATCAAGAGCCTGCTTTGCTCAGGGGTTGTCTTGGATGTTGGGGTGAAAGCCAGATGACTGAACTGGAGAACTGCCTTTTTGACACAGACCATGAGACTCCAAGAGGTCGTACTTTATCAAATCAAATAACAGAAAATGCTACTGCTACTATTGTCATTATACCACCCAGAGCAGCATACCGTTCGCATTTCTGCAATTACTTTAAAAACATGAATGTCTGTCTTGTCAGGCATAACTGACATTGTTTGCATTGCTGATATGAAGGTCTAAAAGCGGCACTACAGTGCTAAGTGACTGATCATGAAACTTTCCAGCACCATTCCCACATGTGCTTGAAATGAGTGTGGGTGTCCTGGCCCAATTTCCCACT